CTATTGTTGCAAATCGAAATTAGTGACATTTTTTTTTATTTGTATGAATTTTTACAACCGCTTATCTTGAGTTAAGCTTTTGTTGCAAAATTAATTTTGAATTTTTTTAAATACTAACTCGACATAAGCGATTTGTGTAAAATAATTATTGTTGGTTGTTTAAACTCATCTCGAGTTAGGCGATTATTGCAAATGCAATTATATTTCAAAAGGCTTCTTATGTCGAGTTAGGTTTTTATAACGCGTGCAAATAAGAACAATACATCGAAGGTAAGCGTTTAGTGTTCGAAATAATACATGATCAGTATAGAATATTTTTTAGTTTTTTATAATAAAAAATATTTTATAACGCTTAACATATTATTTTATGTGATATATAGTGTAGGTACTTTATGTCCATGATTTAAAACTGTTCACTATAGTTAAAATTAAATCTTACATTCAGTGACAAGGAAGATAGTTTTTTTTAACCCAAAATATAAAACATGTACACAAGTTACCTGCATTATTAATGCTCTAATTACCCAAATATTCCATGTTTAAGATTTGAATTTTTTTATTTAACAAATAATCTTGTAGTTCATTTCGTGATTTACCTGCGACAAATGTTTTTTTTTCAATTGACGGAGTTCCTATGTTAAAATGACACGTGGCTAGCTACCTGATGGTAGATTGTTTTGCCTTTGTGGTCTAATTGTATTATTAAACAAAGTGTTGTTTTATTACGCCCTTGTAAAACACATGTTATTAGGAAGATCAAATTTTTGTGTTTAACAAGAGTTTTTATTTTAATTATTGTATTACAAAGCAACACTTTTATTATACACTAGTAAAACACATTTTGATAGGATATTCAAACTATTATAATTTGCAAGAGTTTTCAATAAATAAAATTGGTACATCTGGGAATAACAATATTTTGTTATACTTTTTATTACTCATTTCCGTGAGATCAAATTTCTTCGATTTTCAAATATTTATGATATTTTTGTTATTTCGAAGGAAGTATTTTTTACAAAGACAGTTATTTATTATTGTTTTTAAATTCGCTTATGTTGGAAATTGTTAAGTAATATAAAAATTATCCAATATAAACTTTATCCACGTTTAATCAATGTACGTTAAAAGTTTTGGAACTTGCTAGGAGAGCTGAAATGATTGTGGTGGATATTAGATGTATTACATTATATTTGAAATTAACATAACGGATTCAAAGTGTTTTTAAGCATAGAAATTAGCGAAACTGGTTCTTTAGTAAATAAACAAGTATCAACAGATCTTACTTTGAAAACCGAAGTAAATACAGTTTTGAAAACCGCAATTGACTTTGGTCGTGGTGATTGTATTAACAATCCTGATTTTAAAATTTCTAAACAAAAATTCTTCAGGATCCGACGTAAATAACGGGTTCATTGAAATAAAATAAAGTAGAAAAAGATGTTCAAAAAAATACAGATATTCGAAAGGGCTTTCAACGATAGGAATTTGGGAAATGAAGATGAAAATTGACAAGGCAAGTAAGTTTCTTTTGTCGTAAAAACTACAGATGTTAGATTTTCAATAGCATTCAAAAGCAAATTTTCGAGTCCTATCGGGCACAAGAACATATCTGTAGATAACCTTATATGCGGTTTCATTAATGGGCATATTTGAAACAAAAACAATATGTAAAATACAACATATCAGCAATGTCAGAGTACGTAAATATCACACACAATGGTCTCCTTTACACAATGCCTTGATGAAACTTGTTTCCAAAAAAGGGTTTTAAACAAAAACGAATAGATACTAAATACAAATATGTTTATGCTACAACTTTATTTATTTGCTTTGTCAGATCCGTTGCACAATGAAGCCTTTTTGTAATTGAAATACTTTTTGAAACTCCCTTAAGTGGAAAGAGCCACCCCACAGATTTTAAAAAATCTACTTCCAAAAAATATTTTACAAAAACAGTTTATACAAACAACGCTTTCTTATATTTTAAGACAAGGTGTTAACTAGTTAGATTTTCAAGATATGCTCCGAATTGAAAAAGAAGAGAAAATTAGTCCCAAAAAAGAAAAACTTAGAGTACTTGATGCAATTTATTGATCCTTTGGTTCAAAAATTTTACAAAACGATTAATACTGGAGACTTAGCAGATACTCCTCCATATTTAGTCGAAGAATTCGAGAGAGAATCACCTTTTTTAAATTTAATGAAAAAATTATTTTTAACTTTTAGAAATAATTTTTACTTGAAATTTATTCATTTCTTACCTCAATTTATGTTTTTTATGACAATGATTTGAAAAAAAAGTGAAAAATCACATAACGTAAAAATAATACATATATTTCTTCCCTTTTTAGTATAACTTAAGTCACCTAAAACCATATCTTCAGTTTTGCAACAACAGCTTAAGTCGACTTAAGTTTGACGAAAATGCAAAAGTAATTTTTCACAAATCGCCTAACTCGAGATATGCTTTGCAAAGTGCTTTTTATAAATTTTGTATAACCGCTTATCTCTCTTTTTTCACAATTATGAGAATACTATTAGTTGTTTTACTTCAGATTATAAGTTAATCGCTTCCTTTTTTAATTATCTTTCGATCAAAAAAAAAATTGGCTAAAAAAACTTCATAACTTTTTTCAAAATTAAATTTAAAGTTTAAAATTCATTTATCTCGAAATCACTAAAACAGACTTAAGTCGTTTGTGCTTGAAGCCACTGAATTACAGAAACGAAAGTTTAATTCAGTTCAATTAAACTTTCAGTTTAATTAGCAGAATTTTTCAAAGTAATTCGGAGGGTCTTTATACCAATTCTTTTCAACTTACAACTACGTCACTGCGGTTGCCTGCAGGAAATGGACGTACCAGAAAATATTTTACTTTTGAAGAAGAAAGTTTGAAAAGACAACGAATTATATGTATTAAAAACCCAGACAATCTCTGTCTACCACGAGCTATTGTGGTAAGAAAAGCTTTTGAAGATAGAGATGTAAAGTATAAAAATATTCGGCAAGATGTCCACAAAATTCAGAAAAATCTTGCGTTAGATTTAATAAAAGAATCAAAAATTAATATAGTTTAGGATGCAGGAATACCTGGACTACAGAAAATACAAAACTACTATACAAACAAATATAAAATTGTATTATATGATTATGCAAATAACAAAAACATGGTTTTTGAAAGGAAAAGCAAAGGAAAGTGGATAAATTTGTTGTATCATGAAAACCATTTTAACGTTATTACTTCGTTGACAGCAGTTTTTGTAATTACTTATTACTGTGAAAAGTGCAATGTCGGTTTTAGTAATAAAAACCACCACTATAAATTAATTGTAATTTTATATTTTTATTATCATTTTCTTTTATTATTTATTTATTTATTTTTTACTTTATTCAAATTTACAATGTGTATTCAAGATTATAATATTTTAGGTCTAATAAATGTATGCTATAATATATAATATAACAATTTATAATTAACTTATAATTATTTCAAAAACTTAATTAATACAAAATTTAAAATTACACAATATTATATTGTTACAAAAAAATATTAAAATCTGAATGAAAATTAAAAACAAGTAAAAACGTTTCAGTCGGTATAAACCGATTGAATTATACCCTGCACCTTTCGTTATTGTGTAGCAATTACACGAACCCGTGAAGTCATTCTATAGAAACTTCACGGATATGTCTGACCTATAATTGGACATCCGACTGCCAAGTTTCATGAATCTGACTTTATAATTTTTCCAATGGTATCTACTCGAACCTGTCAAGCAATTCCACCAAAACTTCAGAAATATATCTGACCTGTAACTCGACATACAACTGCCAAGTTTCATGAATCTGACTTTATTATTTTTCCAAATATTAAGAATAAGCTTTTAGACTTGTATGGGAGCTACTCGAACCTGCCAAGCAATCCCACCAAAACTTTAGAAATATGTCTGACCTATAATTGGACACACGACTGCCAAGCTTCATGAATCTGACTTTATTATTTTTCCAAATATTTAAAATAAGCTTTTGGGCTTGTATGGGAGCCACTTGAACCTGTCAAGCGATTCCACCAAAACTTTAGAAATATCTTTGACCTATAATTGGACACACGACTGCCAAGTTTCATGAATCTGACTTGATTATTCTTCCAAATATTTAAAATTAGCTTCTGGAGTTGTATGGCAGGCACCTGAACCTGTCAAGCAATTCTTCTAAAACTTCAGAAATATATTTGACCTATAATTGGACGCATGACTGCCAAGTTTCCTGAATCTGACTTTATTATTTTGCCGAATATAAAAAATTTGCTGTTGGGGTTGTATGGCAGCCACCCGAACCGGTGCAGCTATCCCATTATAATTTTTAGAGCATGTGTAGAATATAATTGGACACATGTATACAAAATTTTATATTTATAGCTTTATTAGTTTTCGAAATATTTAAAATAAACTCTTTGAGTTGTATGGCAGCTCCCCGAACCCGTTGTCCGAATTAGTCCAATAACAATAGGGTTCGTCCTTGGCACAAAAGAAAAAACTTGTGAAAGTTTGGTGTCGATAGCATTATTCGTTTTTGAGTTATCGTGCGATCGGACACGGACGGACGGACGGACGGATGGACATGTCTAAATCGACGTAGAATTTTACGCTGAGCAAGAATATATATATATGTCCATACCGCAGATGACTCCTTCAAGTAGTTACAAACTCCATACCAAAGTTAATATACCCTTCACGAAGTGCAGGGTATAATAAAATAGAAAACAAAAATATAAACTATGCAGTAGTGAGAAATTCACTAGTGTTACATAGCTGTATCTTAATACAATTTATATATAAATAGTAAATAGTAAATGTGGGGTTTAAGACAAATTTTATTTTATATTTATATCAATTCTTATAACAAATGTATAACAAATCAGCTACAATTTTTTAAACATGCAGTTACACATTGGGTAGAAAGAACAACATAAGTAATTTAATATCATTTGCTTAATTTCTTTATTACACAAAGTTTGATAATAGCGGTTAAAGTACTTCTTAGCAATACGTTCTTTAAAAAGGGTAATATTTTCTTTATCACTAATTCTTTTCACATGCATTTTAATAACGAAATATGAAATTTTGAGCATTGCAGGACTAATTCTATCATAGTTTTCGGACAAGACTATCAATTTAAAATCATTTATCTCTGAAGAGCTGGATTCTCCTTTATAGTCAAATGATACTGCATTATAATTTTTTTTTGAGGAAGTTTGAGGAGGAATGTCCACAGGTTTAAGCAAAGACAATTGAAGATTATCAGCATTTAATAATATGTTTTCCAACTGACAGCAGGATTTTATTCGAAAAAGTGCTGTGTAGAAGGTAAGAACCCTATCTTTATCAATGTCGGGTCTTATATCAACAACAGATCTGCCATGAATACTAATTGATTTGATAAAATTTTTGTTGTAAACCACCGCGACATCCCCCAAGCAATTTGTAGGTGTTAGATTAGACGCATCTAAAATTATTAAAAATCGGAATTTTAAATCTTTATTTAAATTATCTCATAGGTCATTTCAAATTAATGAAGTGACCCGAGGACTTTCCCTCTCCTGAGTATTTTCAACTCAATATAACTTTTCAAAATTGAAAAGAATAAGAGAAGGAATACAAAGAGTGAGAAGGAAACGTTCACGGAATGATTTTATTTACAGAAGACTATAGAAAAATTTCCATTACCAACAACAAGTAAATTCCAGAATTAATTAAGTTTTTCAAAGTCGTAATAATTAATTGATAATAGCCAAGCTTTGCATAATTTTATGAGAAACAGTTTCATTTCTAATGTGAAGAGGAAGATTATTAAAATAAATTGGCGTTCGAGTTTCAAAGAATTTTTTATAATGAGTTTTAGATCCAAATGGAATACTAGCTAGATTAAGTTTGTTTGTTCTAAGATTGTAATAATTGCAACTACGTATACGTAATGAAGTTCCAGATTTAAAAATTTTTTTAAAACACTTATAAGCATAGAGATGTCTAAGCGGGAGTACAAACGATTCCTGGAATAATGACCAACTACTATATGTTCTAGTTTTATGGTAGATAATTTTCATAATGTATTTTTGAGCAATTACAATGGGTTCTATTGTGTTAAAATATGTTCCTCCCCAACCTAAAATCCCATATTGCAGTTTAGATTGGACCATATTGCAGTTTAGTTTTACTACTTACTATAAGTTCATGAATGAAAAACCACCTTTTAAGTAATTTTAAATCATAATCTATACTTTCCTTTAAGGATAATGTAGTGTTTTCACTATAAGAAATAGAACAATCATCCGCGAATCCCGTGATTTTCCCCCTGAAGGACTGAAAAAATAGTGAGTTAATGTAAATTAAAAATAGTAGCGGTCCCAAAACGGAGTCTTGAGGCACTTGGAAACAATGCAAGACAAGACATTATATAAAAAGGGAAATGACGATGTTAAATTGCATGAACCCAATTTATTTGTTCTTAGTTCAAGATATTATGTCTGCATAAAAGAACACAACTTACATTTTTGTTTGAAATGTGGATTTAGAACAATAATTTTTAACAACTATGTAATTGCCAATTTAATTGATTACATTTTCAAAGTATAAAAAAATTTTAAACAAGTGGTGGTACTGGCTCATAATGGTCAAAGTTTTGACCATCAATTTATTTTAAATGAAATTCTTTAAAAAAGTGACAAAGAGCCATAATTAATAATGAGAGGAACGAAAATAATTCAAATGCATTTGAATAATAGTAAATTTTTGGATTCAATGAACTACCTTCCAAAGGCTCTTGCACAACTTCCTCAAGCCTTTGATTTGTCGGCTAACGTGAAAAAAGGCTATTTTCCACATCTATTTTATACAACAAAAAACAAAAATTGCGTTGGACCATTACCATCAATACATTTTTATAGTCCTGATACGATGACCCCAGAAAACCGAAAAACATTTATTGATTGGTACGAAAAAATTAAAAATAATGAATTAGTTGAATATTGCAAAAATGAACTTAGTTGAATATTGCAAAAATGATGTGCTAATTTTAGCTGAAGCGTGTATCAAGTTTAGAAATCTCCTTGTGGACGAGTGCAATGTGTGCCCGTTTACAGAAGCTGCAACTATAGCGTCAGCTTGCAACTTACTTTTCCGTAGGAATTTTTTAAAACTGGAAACCATTAATACCCAAAACAAGTAATTAATTGTTATTATTACCTTTACTTAATTTCATATATAACACAAAATTATTAATTTTTAATAATTATATAACATTATATTTGAATAGGTTACAGACTGACAGATATTCAATCAAAAATCGTTCTACAATGGTTAATTTGGGAAGAAGACCAGAGACAAATTTAAATTCAACACGCAGGACTAGAGGCATCAATAAATGGAATAAAAGTAGATGGATTTTGTTCATAATACATTTATGTACTGTAAAGTTAAAGAAAATGAAAAAATAAAGTACATAGACATATGCTCGCTGTATCCGTACGTGTGCAAATACGGAAAATTCCCAGTAGGCCATCCAGAAGTTTTAGTGGGGCATAAAATTGATATTGAAAGTATTAATGGTTTAATTAAATGTAACGTCCTTCCGTCAACTAATTTGATTCATAAATTCAACACGCAGGACTAGAGGCATCAATAAATGGAATAAAAGTAGATGGATTTTGTTCATAATACATTTATGTACTGTAAAGTTAAAGAAAATGAAAAAATAAAGTACATAGACATATGCTCGCTGTATCCGTACGTGTGCAAATACGGAAAATTCCCAGTAGGCCATCCAGAAGTATTAGTGGGGCGTAAAATTGATATTGAAAGTATTAATGGTTTAATTAAATGTAACGTCCTTCCGTCAACTAATTTGATTCATCCTGTTCTACCAATAAAATAAAATAGTAAACTAATGTTTTTACTTTGTTCTACGTGCAGTCTATATGCGAACCAAGATGAATGTCTTCATTCTGATGAAGATAGAACTTTATCAGGAACGTAGGTGATCGATGAAGTATTCAAAGCTGTAAAAACGGGATACAAAATAATTGAAATACAAGAAATTGGGAAATACGAGGTGCAACAATTTGATAAAAATTTAGATTATCATGGGCTATTTACAGAAATGATGGATAAATTTCTTAAAACTAAACAGAACGCTTCTGGGTGGCCTAAAGAGTGTATTACAGAAGAGTCAAAGCAAAATTATATTGAAGAATTTTTAAATCAAGAAAATATTCAGCTTGATTCAACAAATATTTGTAAAAATCCGGGAAAAAGAATCTACAGAAAGTTTATATTAAATTCTTTCTGGAGAAAATTTGGTCAAAAAATAGTAAAAAGTCCAGCAAAATTTTATTACCTTTTGTCAGATCCCAGCAAAGATGTGATGCATATTTTGATAATTAATGATGAAACTCTGTTAGTCAACTGGAAATATAAAAACGAAGAAATGGATTCGTTGCGTACAGTAAATGTATGTATAGCAGGCTATACCACTGCCCAACTGTATAGTTAAAACTCTATGATTATTTAGAAAAATTAAATGATAAAGTCTTGTATTATGACACTGAATAGGTTATTTATGTGTCAAAAGAAGATGAATATGAACCACATCTAGGCAATTTTATTGGAGATATGACCAATGAGCTGGAGTCGAATGCCGAACTGCAACAACTAAACGAGAAAAACCTCGGATTCAAGTTTCTAGGAAGGGATGTCAACAGATGGAACATGGCTCTGTTTGAGCTGACTCCACTTCGTTAAAATAATTGATAAAAATTTTATTAACTAAAAATAAATAAAAAGCAATTTTATGTTTTAAAAATAACAAATAAATTAAAATATTTTACATATTTTTTTTATTTAAAGTACAGTAAGTATTTACAGTAAAGCCAACTCTGCTTCAAAAGGCATCTTTTCTTGGCAAAAAAGCCTTTCTGCTGTTATTGTTGTAATTGGTAGGTCCATCAATATCAATTCCTTGTTTAGAATAAACTCTTTTTGTAATTGGAAAACCAGGCATTTTCCAATTACATCTTCAAATGGTTCATATGAATCCATTTGATTGAATAAAATTTTTTAATAAAACTAATTAATTTATATGATTCTGAAACTAAGAAGTCTACTAAAATAGTAATAAAATTTTTTATTGCATAAACGTTTTAAAATTAGAAGGGGATATTATAATATTTAAGAGCATGGGACCAAAGTTAGATTTTAGTAAATTGACAAACATGAGCAAGTCAATAGCGGATTTGCAATTAGCCGTTGGGCATAACGGCCAATACTTTCTGAAAGAACTCAGTTTGATAGATAGCTGATGGTTGCATTATGCCAATATATTACATTTTTATTACCTTATGCAAGCAAAGAGCTTTGCACTAATGCCCGCCGCCACAATACTCATAATAAATAAGAAATTAATGGACTGTCATGGTATGACGGCGTAACTGAGTACTACGAGGTACCAGAAATTTTAAAAGTATGTTTTGAATTATTTGACAAAGTCTTTGTAAAGGGAGCTAAAAAAAAGCAGTTTTTAAATAAATATGCTTTGGATTCAACAGAAGTCGACCTTGGTGACTCTATTCCTTCCCTGCAAAAAATGAAAAATTACGTGAAAATTTTGTTTGTTTATTGATAAAATCTTGATCAAATTTATACCACTCCAAGTAATTCATCTCACAAACGACTTTATTATTACGTTGGAAAATTATTGATGCAGCAAACTTTTCTAAATTAAATCCCATTTGTGTTTTTGTATTTTGTTTTGTATCCAAATAATAAGTATAGGACAAAAACAGGATTAGCGCCGGTAAATGTTTTTTTAGTAATAACCAACTTTGATTCTTGCTCCATTGTTATTTTAACTGAAGAATTTTATTTTAAAATCTTGTATGTATAGTGTTTTTTGGATTTTTTAAAATCCAAATAAAATTAAAATTTTCACTGACATTTAATAATGATGGACAAATTAAATATAAATCCGCTTTTCTATCATTTTTAAGTGGGAATGATGTGTTAAATAAATTAAGAAAATCTTTCATACTTTTACAGGAGCATAATCCATAAATATACACAGCAATATTGCCCACAAACTGATGTTAAATTGCTTTGTAAACGTTTATTATTAAAAATAAAACATCTTGATTGATTTTTTAAAAACTTTATGATTTCCTTGTAGAATGGTGGATTTCCAAATGAATCAAAATACTCTGTGCACCCTTGAATTGGTACAAAAATTGCTAACCAATGAGTTCCTTTTTTAATAGAAGTGTCAGAGTTTATAATTAAAATAGCTGGTTTTGAAATATTATTTGGTATTCGACCAAGTGCAAAAATACCTTTAAATAATTTGCGTGTTAAATTATTTTATTTCAACACTTTCGTTATCTGAAGTGTATTTATAATTTCGTAATTTGGAAATATCAATAAGACGAGTGTTTCATCTTACATACGTTGTTAAAAATTCTACTCTAAGTTTTCCATTTGTTAAAATTATATTGAACTTTGCAAGCATATCTATTAAATTGTCAGTTGTGTTTTTGTTATCAATATGACCAAAAGAGTAATTTTCAATATTGGTTTTTTTAAGATCCTTAATAGGAAAATTATATTTGAATTCTTTCACAATCGTTTTACATTTTTCTTATATTCCAGCTATAGTAATATTTTTTACAAAAACTGTATTTGTGTCGTCGGTGCAAAACGACAAGTCTACTTTAGCACACGTCATGATTAAATGATTTGTAGCTGCTTTTGAGATGCCTTTTTATATGTTTAGGTACACGTTGCGATTCTTGTCAATTTCTATGCTTGCATCAAATTCAGCAAAAACGATGCAAGCTAAAGTTGAAGATAACGGAGAATCAAGTTTTGTTTCAATTTTAACAACTCCTTGGTTCAGAAGAGCTTGACATGTGTCAGTCCTTAAACCATCTGGTGATAAATCAAAAGCAAGAATTGTGTATCCTTTTGTAAAAAGCTCTTTTGAAATTTGATGACCTTTGTCAGAATGATGTATGCCTGTTCCATTGAATAGCGTCAAGTACGCTCGCGAATTGAAAAAATTGTGTGTTGAGAAACTTGTTTCAATTGCTGAATTAGGAACTGGTGCACCATTTACATAAAGTTGAAATTGTGTCAAATTTTGATGATCAAAACAGTAAGGATTTTTTGACTTTTTTCCATTAAAATTTTCATTGCTTACCATGCAAAATACAATAGCGTTTTGTATTTGTCCTATGAATACATTGTCTAATGAAATATTAGATGCATTTGCTGGAATAGTAAACGTTTTCATCTCACTTCTAATATACGGATATTTTGCATTTGCTTTTTCAAACACTGCATTGTGTGCTAGCAATATATTTGGGTTAATTGTCAAATGTTTCATATATAAAGTTGCTTTAAGAATTTTCAGGTAACTTTCATCAGTGTCGTCGAAGAAAATAAAAAAATCTTGTTGTTCTAATGTTAATGCTATGTCAACGTTGTTTATAAGTAATTTTGGTGTATTGAAGAAATCTACATGCAATTTCCGCATTAACTCTGCAATTGCAGAATTGCTGTATAATTTTTGTCTAGACTTAGAACCCGAATTATTTGAATCATTAACGTTAGGCTTACCCAGTTCCCAACTGCATGCTTCCAAATGAGTTTGACTGGAATCTGTCCCATAATTTAATAAAGTTGTTATATATGCCTTATAGTTGTATTGTGAATCAGAAGGAGTTATATTTTTTCTATTTAATGTTACAGTGCATTGTTTAATCATTGAGTGTAATAAATTATTTACAACACTAGGCTGAAGAGCAAGTTTTGCATCAGCCCCCGTTCCTATTTTATCACTTGTGCTCCAAAGTGATCCATGTTTTTTTAGCATTTGAACTTTGAATTTAATATATGTCGCAGATAAATCACGATAAGTATCTCCATTTCCAAGCGAAACAAATTCTATCATTGAAGGTGACGCTTCTAAGGAAGCTAGCGGATTGTACGCGACTTCTTCTGAACGTAGAATACTTGTTTATACAGGATGAAGCAAAAAGATCTAGCTCAGATTTCATACATTCCATTTTTAATTAAATATATCAGAGGTTTTGTTTTGCTTTTTTCGTCGTTTTTTACTTGACTGAGACTTCTTATGCGATCCTTGTCTTTTTATAGCCCGTCGTCGTCGTCTTCCACCATACATTGAATGCAATTGATTGACAACTTGATTTTCGTAAATTTTTTATTCCTCCTTTACCTTGATCAATTACTGTCTCTTTTATATTTGCACCAGATGCTATATCACTAAGAATATTTGTACCTGTAGTTAAAGCTTGTTTTTTAACAAGATCCCAGAACGATGAAATAACTGGTTTTAAGTACCGAAACAAACTTCCGAATAAGTTTCCAATGATAAAATGTCATTAATTCCTCCACCCACTTGTGAAGAATAATATTTCACATATGCTCGTTCAATATCTGAATAAACTTGTTTTTATTTATGTAGAACAATTTGTATTGTTTTACTTTTTGAAGTGTAACACAATTTTAGCCGGATAAAAATTTGGAACAAAATTTATTGTTTCACCATACTGATCACATATTTTTATTGCAATAGTTTCTAAAATATTTTTTTCTATAGGTACATACTGAATATTGTGTAATTCAATATTTGTTGGTTTTCTACAATTTTCTGTATTAATAGCTCTTAATGCACGTACTTTATTGTTTCCGAAAACAGATGATTCAACTATATCTGAATAAATCGTTATCATTGCATTTAATTCATCTGTACTATTTGCAAAAGTTTGCTTGAAGTTTCTTGCAATTTTGTTTTAAAATTTTTTATATTCTTTTTCTGTTTAAATAATTCAGCTAGCAATGTTTTAACGTTATAATTATGATTAACTTTTATGTAAAAATTTTCATCTTCAAACGTCTGTAATATTCAAATTAAATCTTTTCTGTTAGATTCCGAAACTTTTTCAAATGCTACATGGTAATGTTTTGGATGAGAAATGCACGTTAAGATTTTATTGAAAAATTCTTGCATAACCTTATTACGAATAAACCCTGCATAAGGAGTTATATTTTTACAAGGGTTGGTAAAAAATTGAACTTCCAATCATCTAGATGTATTTCTGAATCATCAGATGAATAAAATGTGAATCCTATACATTTTGTTACTTTAATTTTTTAAGAGGATTCAAAGTGTCGGTTACATAAACTGTATACTCTCCAATATTAATATAAATTTGTTTGTTTGTAGAAAATCGTTCACATATATCTCTGAAATACCTACTTTCCAATTTCCATTACGTAGATCAAAATAAGATGGAAGCTTATTTTCAAAAGAAGCTAAAGTATTGTCGGGAAACAAATTTAAGTTGTTGCCAGTTTTCGTTTCTTAGTTTCAGGAAGTTTAGACAATATACTAGGGGAAAATAAATTGCCAGCCGACCTTAATGTTTTCCTTTTTCCGGTGATGGTACAGCAACAGTTATAATATCACCGGGCTCAAAGACGGATTGTCGAATATACGAAACATCATCTGGTGTTTAAACATCATAATCACGAGTTCTTACATCAACATCCATTTGTTGCAGTTCGCTTTTGGGATCATATTCAAAAAACACGTCATCAGTAACATATGATAAATACCATTTTTGGTATTCACCTAATGTTACTGATGACTGTATAAATACCTTTTTTGTTGCCTGTGTAAAAACATTTTTGAAGAGGTATTAGGACA